TACATTCGATGTCGAAACCTATCAAATCAAGTCCGATTGACCTCAAATTTTGCACACAAATCACAAATGACATAACGGAGCTACGAAAATTTTCGGAACTGAATTCCGACCCCGATATCAAAAAGTCAACTGCCTGGTCAAACTTCCAAACTTAAATTTTTATTTTAGCCATTTCAAGTCTAATTTCACTACGGACTTCCAAATAAAATTTCGATCATGCTCCTAAGTCCAAAATTACCATACGGAGCTGTTGGAATCATCAAAATTCTATTTTGGGGTCGTTTACACATAGGTCGACATCCAGCCAACCTTTTCAACTTATGTTTTAAACTTTGGAACTAAGTGTTCCAATTCATTCTAAAAATCTCTCCAGGCCTGAACCGACTACCCCGGCAAGTCACATAACAGTTATAAAGTACAGAATGAGCAGTAAATAGGGGAATGGGGCTACAACTTTTAAAACGACTGGTCGTATCATTACAATTATATATTCAAAGCTTTGTATGGCCATATGAATATTAACTAACAAGTGTACTGCGTGAATTTGGCATACACGTGTGCCACCCGTATCGAGAAACTAATTATTTTATTATAAAGGTGGAAAATTCAAAAGTTAAAAGTTAAATTAATAAAATACTCTTTTAAATTAATAGTTTTATTTAGGCATTTAATAATATTTAAATAATATTTAAATAAAAGAAAAAATAATAATTTAAAGTGCCTTCTCTAAAAGTTGTGTTATTTCAGAGAGTAACTATAAATGCTATTAATATTTTCAAAAAGCAAAATATATCAAGATGACGACTTTGTGGTATAACAGAATGTTAAAGGGACACATATTTCTTTACATTGTCCAACTGCCATTTTCTTGATTTTTAATATGTAGAAAAAGTATCATGCACATTGTTGTAAATTCTCTCAGAAAATGATTATGGGGTGGATGGCTTTCAGTATTACAAGCATTTTGAGTGCCTACGGCTAAGGTGCAGCAGTATACGAGTCCCAAAGAAAAAAATGTGAATGAGTTCAAAATAGCGATACGCTCTAAAAAAGTAAAGGAGAAGCTTCCCATGGCAATGAAGGTTCTCATCTAGGGGAGTTCACAGTGGTGAGCTCAGTTATAGAAGGAGAGTTAGACCGGGCGTTGGCAGGGAGGTTTGCAACTGGGTTGACCTGGCCGAAGTCAGTCTTGTGTTCAATTTCGCGGTTAAAAGTATTTCAGTCTGCCATCTGTCTTTCCCTTCTCTTCTCTTAGCAAAGGTAGGTTCAAGTCAAACTTTTTAATTTCAAAATGAACGGCTTTGATGATCTAAAGAAATTTGAATCTCTTTATGTTAAGAGTCGGTAATGCCTTCATCATTGCCACATGGCTAAAACACAAAAGAGAAACTACAGAGTAGAGACTCTTTTCTAAGTATGTGAAACAATGCAAAGAAATTTATAGGGTTGTGCCTCCTCGAAAATGACTTTTCACTCCAGCAATCAACGTGACATACAAAAACAATTAATTATTTTCATAATCATACCCATGCTGCCACAAGTTCTTTTTGTATAAATTTGCATTGGGAAATTTTTGTTGTACTTCATTATCAATTTTTTATGGTGGGTATGGATGAAAATCTATTTATTTCTTTTGTTTCTCCTTGCCGCACCTTTCTTGTTTACCTTCGGCGCATGCTGCCTATGTTGAGGCACATTGATTTGTTGGATTGTTTTGGTGTTGTTTATGACTGAAAAAGATATAAAAATGCAATTTATTTTTTGCATGTCCTTACTTTTATGTTGTTTATGATTATTGACTACTTATCATGTGTGCTAAATGGAAGTAACTTACATTACTTGGTATATGCTAAAGTATGGTTTAATTTTTTACCTTGCGTACGCTGGTTTAGTATTCATAAATTGCATCCGTAATAATAAGTTTGTGCTTCAATTTCTTTCCTTGATCTATTTTGGAGATTAAAAAGAGAGAGGAATATGAAAAGAGATGTCCAAAAACCAATAGTATTAATTATGTTTAGGAATGAAAATATACAAATTTAAAAAATGTAATGAAGAAGTTACAAGCTTTAGAAACATATATCCAATACATGATTTTCAAGGGTACGGTTGAATCAAAACTTTGATTAGTAGTATATAGTATATCTTTATCAATTTTCAGATAGTTCTTACTTCTGTAATTTTAAAGCTCAAGAAGGTGTTTATAGGTGAAGTGAAATACATGGATTAGAATTTTTTTTTTTCTTTATTGAGTTAAGTAATATAATACATATATTTTTTCTAAAGAATTTTGCATTCATTCCAAAAAACTAGTTTCTCAAAATGGTGGAATCGTTTCTCGTAGTACTACTATTGGATTCTGAAATCAAGAAAAGTAGGCTTATTATAAAAATGAACTAATATGAATCAATCAAGTCGCCTTGCTATAATCCAAAACTCACTCAGACCGTGTGAGAAAAATGAACCAAAGATCATAAGCTTGCATTTCAAATCTTATAGTTGTTGTCTCAAATATTTTGAAAAAAGATGGCGTTGAAGTTCAGATTTACCCGGTTTATGGCGCTCAGTTTCTTATTCCATTAAAGATTGCAATCTTTATGGAGGTCTTGCTAGGTCTCGATTTTTATTTTATTTTTTTATGTTCAATATATTTTGACAATTAATCTTCTTTTTAAATCTAAATACTTTTTTGTGCCGAATCCAATTTCAACAACTATACGAATTGGGTGATGTGTTATGTTTCACCTCATCTTTTAACACATAATGAACACCTAAAATGGCTCATTATAATTCACTACAAATAAAGAATATACCCATGTATATGCGACTGTCGGAAAATAATATAAAGGATCTTAGCTATATTATAATTCAATACAACTAAAGCATGTTTGTATGTATGTATGTATGTATGTATGGATGGATGGATGTATGTATGTATGGATGTATGTATGTATGTATGTATGCGAAAATAAAATTCACCAAGAGTAGATAGTTGTAGTGAAATTGTTCCTTTGTAGTATTATTATTGGAGTTCTACTATTTTATATAACCATATCTAATTTTGCATCCTATCATGAATCCAAGAAAAGTAGGCTAGTTATAAAGATGATTCACTATGAATCAATCAAATCGCCTTTCTATAATCCAAAACTCACACTTGAAGATCGTGTGAGAAGAACGAATCAAAGATAAGAAACTCACATTTCAGTCTCAAATAATCTGAAAAAAAGATGGCGCCATCTTTTTACAAATCACTTGAGACAACTATAAGATTGTGAGCATGAGACCTTTTGTTCATTGTTCAACAACGATCTTCAAGATAGAATTTTGAGTTGTAGAAAGGAGATTGAAATTGATTCATAGTGTGAATCGTCTTTATAACTAGCCTATGTCTCTTTGGCTCTTGATTGGATGCAAGATGAAGCAATTCCATCGTTCTGTCGTTGCTCGTTCTCCTTTTTTGCCCTTTAAAACTATGGAGAGGAAGAAAGAAATAAGATGCATAAACCAGTTAGATAATTTCCTTTTATAAGCAATTATCTTGTGTCAGAGTTTGTGAGGAGCATCTCTTTAATGAGTAAACTACCAGTTCAACAACTTAGTTGCATACGGTTTGCGTGTGCACAACAGAAACAAAATAAAAATAGGACATAGTATTCGGCACAAAAAAAAAGTAGTAAATTGAGCAAGTCCGACGTTATAAAATTTAAATAGAAAAGTATGTTCTAATGATGGACACTACTGTTTTTACATTAGCACAATACCTAGAATTCAAATTGATGGGTACCTTCGAAATGATGTTTTTAGTTAATCATTAATCATTATTAAGAAAAATAAGAGATATATACCTTTATATTAAGAATAAGAGTGGTAAAGTGGAAAGTGTATAAGTTCGTGCTTAACTGCTGGATATACCAAATCTCATTGTGTTGACACCAACCATATTAGTGTATCATGATTAAGTGATAAATAGAGTAATTAACTATAGTTAGCGATAAAAGTGCATACGAAAGACTGTCATGTATTCAGTGGTTTGGTCTAAACACCAAATGGGGGTAAATTTTTCCCCCAAGGAATGGTGTAACGGTTATGCATGAAATTCCCAGAATGGTTAAGTGGTTGCGCATGAATTCTATCATAAACTGTTTTACATTTGTTTGTCCTGTGTATATGCATAGAAAACATGTCAAATAAGAGGGGTAGAGAAGCATAGAGATCAATCAAAAATATAGTATGATATGTCCAACCATCATATTAGGTAAAACCTAAGTTTCCATGTCCTGAACCTTTAGTTTTCAAACTCTGAGAAAGACTGCAAGATAAGCAACCAAAGTCTAGTTTGGTAAAAACCTAAGTTTCCATGTCCAGCCTAACTTACAACAGGAATTTGTCCGAAATTGTTTCAAGATCAAATGGTATCAAATACCAGATTTAAAGTTCATTGATTTGCCAAATACTTCATTCAGCTTCTCCTTCAGAAGGCTTGACTTCAGCATTGGCTGTTTGAGGTTCGGCTCCTCCTTCAGAAGGCCCCGCTGCATCAGCGTTGGTTGCTGGACGAGGGCACATCACATTCTTGATCACAGAAAAGTAGAAATCAAAATCTGCCTTGTATTTGGAGCAGCTTGCTTCGATCCACTTCTCTGCTACGCTGGTGGGCACACTATCCTGGTTGTCCCGCCCATGCTCTTCAATGGCAGGGCGAATTTCATCATATATGGAATTGAGCTTCGAAGCGGCTTCATTTTTTATCCCCTACATGACCGTATTGGCAGAAGTGTTCAAAAAAATTACAATTAGGTTTTCTCCTTCCGCAAAATGAGCTACTATTTCATCACTAGTTTAACTACCCATACCTGAAACAGCATTTATAAATTGTCAATGAGCCCTCGCAAAGAGAGAAATGTGGAGATTCTCTTCTTTTTTTATGTGGGGAGAGTTGTGTGCGCGTGTGGGGGAGGGGGCATGGATGTTGCAATCATAATGATAACAGTTACTACTTGGAAGCATATTAAAACACATAAAAATGATGCTATCCAACCTGCCAACCTCCCCCCACCCCCTCTTTCAGGTTTTCTCGTTCCCTCTCCTCTCGCAAGTGGTAAAGAATAGATAATGATCCAAATCCACTGAAAAGATGCTAAAAACATTTCCAACTTCGAAGGATTTTCAACAACACATCACCATTCTACATTTTGAAAACTCCTACGCACTACTACAATACCATTACTGATATAAAACAACTGAAAACATAGAAAGAATGCAAGGAAGGGTTCCCCCAGCAAAGGCATCTAGACTGCTTCCAAAATCAGTGAAAACATAGCAGACAGTGTTGCTATGGTCCAACAGAAAAAAAGGACTCAGGCTGAGAAAGGTGGAGGGTTGAGTAATCAGTAAAACTTTGGCATTGTTGAAGTGTGTAGGAGTACAAATATGGCCATCAATATGCTGTGTGTATAACAGAATAGAACTATGTTCCACTGCGAAGCACAAAATTGAAAGAAGTAATATCCATAACAATATATAAAACGAACAAGAGAGAAGATTGAGAGAGAACACATATAATATGGTTGGAGCAAGGAGGCAAATTTGGAGTTACGTTAAAGCTATACTACTCCTTAGAGCACATACTCATAAATCCATAACTTTATCTAAAGAGGAGCTCATCAAGTTAAATGGAGTTGAAACATTAGTCTCTTTGACAAGCCCAGGAAAGAATATGAAAGAAAAAGTCGATAAAGTGGATATTATAGTTCCCTAAACCATGACGTGTGACAAAGAAAAAGGGATCATACCTCGTACTTAGTAACTTCTTCCTGTGCTTCCTTTGATGCAAACATTTCAGCAAAATCGGCATCATTCACTTGCTTACGGTTGGAAGATTTGACCTTTCGCTTGGGAATATGCTGAGACTTCTTCTTTGGTGTTGAACCAGATCCAATATTATAATTTCTAGATGTGCTATTACTTCGGATGCGAGATATTGGATTTGCCTGCTGAAATTGTTGCTGGATATCTATAGGATACAACTGACCCTGCTCATTCACCTCAGTCGTCGTTGCTTTTACTTCGATGCTGCCGGGTGGAGCTGAATAATGGGGTTCCACAGCATTTAGTTCCAACTTGCACGTAGTGTGCTCATTTCCTCCACTAGTTCCACTTCCAGAAATCACTGGAAAAGGTTCATCTTCTGCCGAGTCATAAAGTGGAACTTCCTCCACTGAATATCTGCATTAAGATTAGCCAGATTGAAACAAGTATTCAACAATTAAAAAGAATGCTATAAACGCTGTAGCACCCAACTACAATATCTTCGAGAATTTTCTCCAATAAAAATTCTCGAACGTGTTTCATTTTGGTTCAGTGTTGGAGGACTTGAGCTTTACTTTCTAACTGAATAATATAGTTAAGGCAGTTCACTTATTTGTCAACTGTAATAGGAGAAAAATCTTACATTTCATCTGAATATTAACTATGCTTTGTATATTAGCAATCAGTCCCTTATTTTATTTTATTTTGTTGAGAATGGTAAGATTTTATAAACAGAACAATGTTTCATAATTTATCTATCTCTCCAAGGTTTGAATGGTGTCACTGATGTTTCTCTTCTACAGAGAGAATCAAGATGTAGAAGTAATGGAAAGAGATCAGTTCCTGAAGAATTACTGGAGATAAATCTGAAACTTTGAAGATCTAGGACAATATGCTGAATGCCAGACTACTTCAATCTTCTAAGAAAAAACATACAGGTCCAGTCTCCTAGTTGTGAATCCAAAGGTCCACTTCTTTTTCCGTAATTTGAAAGAAAAAAAAAATTCGGGTTTTTTATTGAGTTAACAATAACAATAGGATGAAGAGCACAATTACCACTTTAAAAAAAATTAAAAGAAACAAACAGAAGAAGAAAATAGACGAGGAGAAATTTCCAATTCTAACACAGCTGTACCCACTTTACTTTAATTATGGTTTTCGCTTTCATTGACTTTTACGTTTTAATATCCACTGCCTATTGCATAAAGGTATCAACAGAACAAACCAAATCAAGTTAATAGAACTGGAAGCTCAAGATTTGTAAGAAATACAACAAACAAAGTTGAGCATTACCTGACATCCCCATCTTCCCAAACATGGTTATACTCCTGAGCCAAGATAAAAGGCAACAAAGAATAAGAAAAATGTGATTCACAGACTCGTACCGAATTTAGAAACATCTACTATGCTCTAGAAAACAGAAGAAAGCATATGCCAATAGGATCTCCCCCCTTCTTTGTTATGTTTATCAATATGAGCACTTTTACCGCTTCTTCTTTTTGCTGAGAAAGGTAACATGTTATATATGTAATCAGCACAAAGGCTGTGCTGGGAGTCATATTATTTCTCATTAAATTTCATTTGAAGTACTTAATTCTACTATTTGCATCAGTTGGAATTATAGTTCCTCCTCAGACAATCTCAAATCAACTCTGAAATCTATGATTGGTGTGATTTTTAACCCCC